ATATGTATGTATGTAGATCTATCAATCTATAGCCGGTGTATATATATATATATGTATGTATGTGTGTATATATATATGTATATGTACGTATGTCTATTCTCGGTACATCTATCTATCTCTCTCTCTCTATATATATATATATATATATATTTATATTTATATATGCACATTCACATACACGACATCTTCGCAAACCCTGGTGTTGATCACCCCCCCCCCCCTGCACAAGCTCTGCCCTCTCAGCTCCTGGGCCCTCCGACATCGAGCTCTTAGGGTAGTTCTCTAACTTAGGCTGCCTTTTGAGGGGTACTTTTGTGGGTTCCTTCAAGGGGTCTATAAGGGTTTCTATCAGGGTTCTATTGCTATTATTGCTTTTATTGCATCCACTACTATTTTTACTAGCATTACGAATCTGATTTCTGCTCTTACTACTACTCTATATTATCCTTACTCGGGAACTGCCGGTCTCTGCACTGTGTCAGACGTTGTCAGCATCCAAACAACTGAAGCCGGAAGCCCTAGAGTGAGTTTAGGGACTTCGGGTTTAGGGTTTATGAGGGTTTAGGGTCAGGAGGAAATGAAAGCAGACACGCTCAAGTTCAAGCCGTAGTCATGAACACACTATCAATCAAGCCACGAAGACTTCAAGACTACTGTTGATGATATGAATCCTGCATTACCTTAAGGACCGTTAACTATGGGAATTCTGGTATATTCCTTATTATGGGTAATGCACGATTTATATCTTCAGCCGTAGCATGTTGCATACGGGCTAAGGCGGCGACTGTTACCCCTGGGAAGGCATCACGACCCGCCACGATGTGGAGGAAGTTGATAGGAACGGATTCCTTGCTGCCTCAGCAGGTCAACCGTCTAAGGCCTAGGCTAGGTTAATGGTTTTCCGGGGATGTGGGTAGTTTTCTAAATTAGGGTCCCTTTGGGGGTCCCCAACATAGTACGGCACCCTCATAAAAAGGACCCCCAAAGGGACCCTAATTTAGAGAATTACCCATGTATGATCAGTTTCGGCGGGGAAGCCCTGCACACCTACACCACGAAGATTAATAACATCAGGAAATTTGAAGTCGAAGCCAGTAAACCCCTAACCCCTTAACCACTAAAACCTTCTAGTGTCGAAGAGATCCCTAAACTCTAAACCTTAAGTTTGACCATACACCCAGATCCAAGAACCCCAACGCCGTAAATCCCACTGCCACAAGCCCTAAACTCACTACATAAGCCTGAAAGAACAAACTTAAGCCCAAAGCCCTGGCTTGCAGCACCTGATATAGAATTAGAATAGCGTTTTGAGACATTCTGCACTGTAGCTGCAATCAGGAACCCTGGGGAATAATAGTGGCAACTCTTCCGACCCCCAAAAGTAGGGTTTATTCTGCTGTCTCCACGCACTGCAAAACTTTGAGCCCACAAGGATGCATGTTTGTACGGCGAAAGAAGCATTCGCACACTATACCTTATCCTATCAAGGCCGGTTCTTATTATGGACCCAAAGATGGGATTTGTAGGGACCCTGCAAAACAGTAGGTTCTAGTGGGTTTAGGTAAAGTCGAAAGCCGCTTGGCAAACCGGGTGCATCCCTGAAAGATCCCCGTACAACAAGACCTGTCGATTGTCCCAATATAGGGGGGCCTTCACGATCAGGAATCGGGCTTTGGGGTTTGTTATCGTACATATTTCGGAACTCTAGGGACAGCCCTAAGCCCTAAACCGTTAAAATGTTGCTGATCCTGCAGGCTTCTCTATGGTAGGGCTCAAAGCCCCTCAAAGAACAACAAATCCCAAAAGCCTTAAAGGAACTCTCAACGCACCATAAACGTAGGGCTTAGGGCTTCTATCTTTCTGACCTTAAGGCTCAAGGACTTCGTAAGTAGAGAGTTACAATGAAGATAACTCAGAACTGAGGTACTTATAGCCAAAATCCCTAGGCCCTAAACCCTAAGAGCCCCTACTTACTAAGCTCCAAGTTAACTTAAGGAGACATCCTCAGGTCCGCGAGAGGCCCCTGATCCGGACTTGCAAGGGCCCGGCTGCCGTGCAAAGACATCAGGGGGCCTTGGAAGAATGAGATGAAAGCTTAGGGGTTCGGGCTTTCGGACGTCGAAGGGTGTCAGATTTCATGTCGTGTGTTCGATCGTGGGAGCCGGGGTGAACGTAGCCCTGGGAGCAGTTTAGGGTTTTGGATGCAGGCTTGGAGACTGCGCTAAGAGGGGCAAGTGCCACGAATCTGAGCAAGTTGCTTGTTTGGAGCTAGTTACAAGTGTCTTTGCTTCGTGTTGGTTTGCAATGAGTGCTTGGGGAGTTTTGGTAGGTCTCACACTGAGAGAAAGATCTGAAGATCTAATTGTCCATGTGCTCAAATAGTATGTGCTTCGGCCTGAAAGTAGGTCCTATATAGGTACTTCAAGGCCTATGTCTATACTATATACTATACCATGCCGAAAGCTTGTCACCCTGAACCCTAAATCCCCAAAACGACCCGCTGGAGAGCCCGGCCCAAAAGCTTGTCATCGAGATCCAGCCTTGGCGAAGAGAGCACGGGACTTAGCAAGCAGGTTTCAAGCAGAGCAAGACTTGTTATGATACCCCTAAACCCGAAACCCTAAATCGTAGCCGCAACTCGGGCGCATGTATCACAAGGTGAAGCCTTTCTTGCAATGCCCCCGATCGGTCATACTAAAAAAGCCCAAACCTAAACCGTGCTTCCAGAAGTGGACTGATTGCTGCTGGTGCCGTGTCACCGGCCTGCAAAAGATTCGTATCCATATCTTGGTTATTTTGGGGTTTAGGGCTTCAGGTTTAGGGTCTATAGGTTTGAACCCCCGGACTCCTCATTTGAGGGAGGGGCTTCTGCAGGTCATCCGCCACGACGAGGAGTCCATGACGATTGTGTACCTGGTGCTATGCGGCCGTGACTCTAGTGAGAATGAAGCAGCCGGGCCCTATACCTACAGGACCTACAGCCTCAACAGTAACTGTCGTTTCTTCTTTTTTCTCACTGAGGGATTCTAGCCGCGTGCCATGAAACTGGTAAACCATGAAGCCGAACCGCAATCCACCAACCACGATACCTGAAACCCCTGAACCCTAAAGTAAACCCTGAAACCCCCGAACCCTCAAGCCTGAAACCCCTGAACCCTCAACCCTGAAACCCCTGAACCCCGAATTCCTACGCCACCACACCCGGAGCCGCACAACGCTGAGCGCTTCGCCCCAAGCCAAGCAAAGCTCTTTGATTGGCTTTAGGCTTGAGGATTAGGGTACTAAGTGAATCCTACCTTACCAAGAGGTTCATATGATACTATGATAGACTTGAGTCCCCAAGACCATAATAAGGATGGTTTCTTGGGACCCAATTCCATAATGGTAGTAAAAGGATGGTTTCTTGGGACCAAATTCCGTAATGGTAGTGTATATGGACCCACTATCTAAGTGAGTCCTCATGGGTCCGGGCGCCTGCTCGGCATTCACCGGCAAGAACTGCGTCCAACACGCTGTCTTGACCGTGCCACCCTGCACAATGGCGCATGCTTACAAGCTTTGGAGTTCAGTGGCTTTTAGAGCTTTTTGGTTTAATTCTAGGGCTCAGGGTTCGGGGTCTAGGGGTGAGGGCCCAACGGCTCTTCTGCGTCTTCGGGGTTACTTACAGTCCAAATCGGATGGTCCTTGCTTTGGCTATTGCTTCTTGATCAAGCTGATCGTAATAAATTAGGTCATCCAGAACATATACCACAATTTGAGTGAACTCATAAACAAACCTACATGCCTGTACCATGCTCGGACATTAAATCTAGGTCTCCGGGTTTGGGGCTTCAGGGTATGGAAGCCGCGATTGAAGTCTCTGAAATTCCAGGGTTGGGGCTGTAGGGCTATGGGGCGGGCTCACAAGGCTTATCAGCACCCTAAACTGAGACCCTAAACCCTAAACCCCGAACTCTAAACCGACTGTGTGCCCTAACCTCCAACCAGGTTCGGGCCGGGGCTGCAAAACCAAGTCTGAAGAGCTCGTGTCGGGCTTATGAAAGGAGAGGTTCGGGTTCTAGGGTTTAGGGTTTAGGGTGTACAGTTTAGGGTTTACAGGGTATGTCCGTGTCCGAATGAAAAGCGGCCTGATACTTTCCATGAGAAATGTCCACCTTCGTCAATCCTCGGCCCGTGTCGCAGGCGGCTTCTGCTGGAACTGAACTCAGACTTCATTACCCTCTTCCCTTCATGGACGGTCCTTGGTTATGATCCCCAGTTCAGTCTAGGAATGCTCCATAGCTACATAAGGGGCCTTGGATACATCGGATACAGGCTTTCAGCTCATGAGGTCGAGTTTATGCGTGTAATATAATATAGGAGCCTAAATAATAAGTGCCAATATCATTCCTAGGGTGCCCGATGATAGTTATACTATAGAAGAGCCCAAGATTCGAACCATTCAGGAACCTATATTCGGGTTTAGGGTTTAGGGATCCTCGGGGTTCTACGACATCCCAAAGGGGTCCTAAGGTTTGTTTTGGGCTTAGGGCTTCGGGTTTAGGGTTTTAGGAACAGTCAGCAGGGATTCACCACCATTACCACCATACGCATACATTGCAATCAACCCCCACTGTTCCCATACGCTCCGGGTGAGCACTGCCACACATATCCGACATACATTGCCATCATTCCACAAACAAGCTATGCAAAGCTACTCCCAAACAGTAACATCCAACCGACAATGTGGCATGCACACCGGCTATCGGCACTTGTTGCGCGGTTTCACTGGCAGCACCTTCGGTGTCATTGCATCAGTTCATGTGCAATCCTTCTACCTCGCTGTCGCCACACTGCGGCATGTTCAGAATCGGTTTCTCCGACCCACTGAGCCTGTGGGAAGTGATGCCTTAGAAACACGCACAGCAAATCGTACCACTCCTCGTCGGACTCCGAGGGATTTGGGGTTAAGGGTTTAGGGTTCGGAAAAGAGAATCAAACGGGTGCGAACTATCTATGGGTTTAGGTTTAGGCGGGGGGGCTAAAGTTTTTGGTTGAAGGCTCTTTACCTACCATGCTTCAGCTTCAAGACCCGAATCGAACCCAACCGGAATAAAACCGAGACACTAGATCCTCCAACTAGACACCAATGTATCCGATATCCTAAGTCTTCAACCACCGGGGGCGGTGCGGTTCGGTGCCGTCAGCCAGGAAAGGTAAGCGTGCATCGCTTTCACTTGAAGCCTAGACCACAGGGAACTAAACGTCGTAAGGGCTCGTGGGTTTCAGATCTTGAAAAGAAGGAGTTGTTTTGTGACGGGGAGATGACGAGGAGGTGTCCCACGGAAATCCCAGAAGTCAAGTTTGGGGCATCGATAAAGGTGATGGAGGCAAATCCCCAGACTCTCAGCATTGATTTCCCCGTCCGGAGTTTGAGACTTGCCTGGCTCAGAGACTAAAGCTGACTTCAAAGTAATGCTGTCGCAGCGTTCAGGTCCACTAGCCGCCAGATTTTACCACCATCCCAATCAAAGTGAGCACGCTGGAGAGATTGTGGCAAGGGTGTGGAAATAATCTCAAACTCGTTGATGACTTCCAGCTCCTCCTCGTGTCTGTGTTAAAAGGCCTGCGACATGATGGAGGGGCCAGCTCCTGTCCAACACTGTCACCTGCAGGCAAAGACATGAACAGGCCAAAGTGCCCCCTAAACCCTAAACTCTGAAGCCGAACTTTTCAAAGTTTCGGGTCTGAGCTGCTAGTTCGCGTTTCCTCGATGGTCCCTGCAAACATGGTTCTAACTTCTAACCAAAATGAAACCAACAAACAAACACATTCTCGCCCGCGTACACAGAGGGTTTGGGGTTTAGGATTCTTGGTTGCTGCCTTTATCATGAGAAACATACCCGCAAAACCCATTCTGGTTCTAATTTTGAAGGCCCCTAGATTCCCGCCTATCGGCCTGATCAATAGGAACACCCTTTGTCCCAACTGTTTGGGTATCTGGGCAGAAACACACAGGTCCCGTGCTTGAGATCGGAATCGTGGAGCGACTCCACCAGCAGCTCCATCTCCTTGGGTGTTGGGCTTTGGGGTTTTAGGGCTTACTGGGTTGGGGTCCCTAACCCTTAAACCCTAAACTCTGGCTCTGAAGGCTTAGGGCTCAGGGGCTTTAGCATCTTGGGGGGTTCTAGAGTCGAGGGGGCCTGGGTCTTTGGCCTGGGTCAGGGGTACCAGGGATCAGGGAGGGCAGGTTCAGTTTAGGGTTTTTTGGGGTTGCAGAGTCGAGCTATGTTTGAGCGTCCTAACCTGGATAGACCCCACAAATGTACCTCTTCTTGTTGTCGTCCTGATACTTCGATTTTGTGAGGGTCTAAGACTAAGGAGATTAGGTGCCCAAACAAGGGCGCTACATTAAAGGAGTCCGGGTACTGTAGATTCCCGCTCGGAGGTCATCGCTCGATCTGACAAACAAGCATGACTTCTGACACTATCACTCGCTAGGAGAAACGATGCCGATCAAGCATAAGAGGCTTGGATTGCCCCAGGGCCAGCACCCCATCCAACATGGTAGTTGCCGTCATCATACACTGTAGAAGTAGAGTAGTAGCAGCAGTTTTTGACCAATACGAATAGGAGTAAGAGGACGGGGAGGTGGAGTTGCAGCTCTACTCGTCGTGCAAAACGGAGCAGTGGCAGCAGCAACAGGCAGAAAGAGACAACCATTGCCACCTATACACGTCTTCGCCAACACACAGCGGAAACACCCAAAAAAACAGGTGCAACATCTAAAAGCACAGAATGCAACATATCTACCCTCGATAGATGTATAAGACCACATGGGTAGATAGAGTAAGACAGGTTTTGGCCAGAGGTGTGCATCGTATCTTACCACGAATCATGCCAGGCCTGCCTTCTCAAGAAAACAGCATGCCTAATTATGCTTGTCATTTCACCGTCACTTAACCTACCCACTTGCCTCTCTCGAGCTCCGTGTGCCTCCGCCCCTGCTAGGATACCGACTGATTTTCTGCAATATGTGGATTGCTGAAAAGGAAATATATCAGCAGGACGCTCACCCCACGACTCCCAAAGCAAGGGAGCCCTTGAACTCCACTGCTTTTCCGGGCCCCATGTGACAGCTCCGGAGCCCGTCGAGACTGAACACCCTAAGCAACCCTAAACCCTAAACCCACTGAACACCCTAAACAACTGTAAACCCTAAACCCTCTGAACACCCTAAACAACCCTAAACCCTGAAAGACCGATAAAGCCTCAAACGATCCACCCAAAAGCCCCAACTCTACGCATCTCCAAAGCCCTGAGCCTGACACCTTAAGCTTACAATCGTGATCAACCACCCCATTATCCCACGCAAGGGCGCCAATCCACCATCCAAAGCTCCAGGAAGTTCCTGACAAGAGGCTATCTGAGGATACTTTCGGGTTTACGGCTCGGGCTTCGGGTTTCAGGTTCCTTTTTTTGGCCTAACCAAATAAATGCTAAGGATCTTAGAGGCTAATCCCAAAAAAGGAACTACAAGAGACTCTAGGCAGGGTTTGGGGAGTAGACTGCGAGGGCTTTGCAGAATAAAGCAACTGGAGCTCGCCTGAACCGACTGGCGTTGTTGGGTGAACCCGACTGCGCGGCCATTCTCAAAAAGTGGCTGGATCGAGTTTAACCCCTAATCCTCCTGCTAATCTTTCACCCTAGAGGGTTCAGGGTTTAGGACCCATGCAGTATATTGGCCCCAGTAGATGCTTTCGCCTTGCAGTGGCTCCTGTATCGTAATTTAGGTCCAGTAACCAACGGAGATGGGTCCATCGAGCTTAGGGTGAACCCCACGCCCTTTGGCAGAGTAGTTCGTAAGATAGCGAGCCCAGAAGGTTCAGGGATGGGAGAGAGGTCTAGTCATCATACACTTCCTGCCGGATTCCTGCCCTGAAAACCAGGTACACTTGATCCTCTTCATCTGTGTTGCCAGAATGGACATTGGTCATCCGAACCAGGAGGTACAGACTGCAATCTATATGCGCGCACACATACATATATGATCCCGGCTCGGCCGGCCCCCCCC